TTTTTTAGGTGAGCGATATATAAGCTCCTTCGAGGGTTTCTTTACGGTTCTTTACCTCGTTGCTTTTTTTGAACCGTCAGGATATTAAATGTGGTTGTTCTTCAGTTAGTGTATTACTCATTTTCAATATTTAAATAACAACTACATTTTTAGATTTTTTATTTCATTCTTTCCTTAAACAATTGCAAATTTACAATTTTATATTTTAAAAATTTAAAAAAAAGCAAAAAAAAAGGGGGGGGACCGAACCCGGCCGGTCCGGTACCGTAACCGCCGGTCCGGGAACCGGAACCGGTACCGGCCGGCACGGTGACGGTTCCGGTTACATGGGGTGGCGGTTCCGGAACCGGAACCGGCGGTTCCGGAACCGGAACCGGAACCGGTACCGGCCGGCACGGTGACGGTTCCGGTTACATGGGGTGGCGGTACCGGAATCCGGAACCGGAACCGTCCCGGAACCGTACCGTGTCCACCCCTAGGATAAAGCTATTTGTACCACAAGAGTTTTTACCTACACCGCAGCCCGCAGGTATGCATCAACATTTTGTGTTGGTGTAATTTTAATTTTTGTTAACATACCAACACTGTGTGTCAGTGTAAATTTTTGTTAACCGCTAACACTTTGTATCAGTGTAAAACATCAAAATGTTGGTGTATACTTTTGGTGTAAGTTTGGGGTACAAATTTTGGTGCAAGTGTAGCAGGGTTCAACATACAATAACAATACAACCCATTGGTTTTCCGGAGGAACAGAATTACAGAACATTACTTGGACAACTTTTTACTCAATGACTCTTCAAAATACGGAGTAGTGTTTTACCACTAGGAGGAGGGATAATAGCCTTTCCCTTTGGAGATGCTCTTTTAATACACACATCATGGGTTTGGCTAAGCTGAAACAATGGTTTTGATCTTTCCAAATAATGAGGAACCAATGAACTTCGGAGTTTCTGGCTACGTGATTCTAATACGTAAATATAAATACTCTCTAAGCTACTTCAATCTAATCTATTATAAATACAGGGCGAAACGCCTTGGACCCTCGATTCCATTCCCCCCATTCTTGAAAAAGAATAGCGAACCAAATACGCACAACAATCTGCAACCTTTTCAATCTTTACCTCTCCTCGGAGTTGAATTTGTTCCATGCAGACTGCAGTTACAGCAAGAGACAACACATGTAAAATATGAAACTCAACGGAGCCCAAAAACAACCTTAGTATTATAAAAATTGAAAACAGAGTCTTTTCAACTCACAAACCTTGAGCATCTCAAAGACCTTCTCGCATATGTACTTTTGCTGAATACTGGCTCCTCTTTGCTGCAATTTGTCAGGATGAACACAAAGAGTAGCTTTCCTGTAACCTTTTTTCACTGCAGCTGCTGTTATGATCTCAGTCATGTGGATTGGTTGCCAACCACTATCAGGTCCAAGGATCTGCATGACCCAAAACAAATGTTTTGGTCCAAGCGCGAACAAAGATTTAATTTAATCTGGGGTAGTTTGTTTTGCCAAGAGTAAAGGTGTTTTAAAATCAAAGCAATATTGATTCTGACTATATTTTTAAATCTCAAACCTAGAGCTACTAGCACTTCCACAATAAGATCGCAGTGACCTATTAAATGGCATGTCCAGAAATCATTTTTAAGAGGAGAAGCACAATATACTTTAATATCATAAATAAGCAAACTATACTAAAAAGAAATTGGTGTGGGTCGGGGGGAGCTGCGTGTGAGTTGAAGTAAAAAAAATCTAGTGAACACTGATTGGAGATGTAAAAAAGAAAAGTAAATTTTCCACACACACACAGGAGGGGACCACCCCGCCAAAAGCACCTCCTTTGATCTGTCACAACAAAAACAACAAACCCAGTATAATCCCAAGTGCATTGGGGTCTGTGGGTCATGATCTACGCAGTCCTATCCCCGTAAAAACAGAGGTGCTGATTTTGTAACACCCATGATGCATTCATTGCTGCATTTACTCCCCAAAACTTCATTGAAAGTAAGAAGGGGAAATTAATGTGCCAAGTCCATTATTTACCCGAAGCTAAAACATTGTCAGAAAAAATGACTCTTTTAGCTCCATTACAATGGTCGGCTCCTTAGATATGCTGCTGCACCTATTTATTTGCTTTTAGTGGAAAACTAGTAGGGTGTGAAGCAAAAGGTATAATGCATACATATTGGAGAGTAGAAAGAAGTGCTCGCAGGTTCCCTTCCTTCCCATTAGCCCATCTCTTGATCTCAGCATCCAGAGGTTCTGCTAGTCTCTGCAATTAAAATGAAAGTGGTCCATTACTGCTGTGCAAAAAGAAAGAGAGAAAAAAACTCTACAATGGCACAAGTAATACAAGGAAAATTACATTTCTCTCTGCTTGCTCTTTCTGAGCAAGAAAATCACGCTTGTTCTTCTCTGCCAGAGCTTTTGCCTGAAATTATCCATGAAGTTTAAGAAAACTCAGATAACACCCCATACTGGTTATCACAAACATATTTTTAGAGTAGTTTAAAAAACATATTATGAGAATGACATACTGCTCGTTCTGTTATCCTCTGGTGTCTTTCCAGTCTGGCTTTTCTCCTCTGAGCTGATTCAGTGGATGCATTAACCCTCTCCAAGTCCTGCACGAGAATCATCATTACACTAGGACGTGATAAGCTTGAAAAAGTAGCAAACAATGGATAAAAGAGATCAAATAGAGAGAAACTCACAGAAGAAATGGAATGCTTCAACATGTTCTCTTGAGAAGCACCACCAGAATACTTTCTGTTGCCAAATTTTTCTCCCATCACTTTTACTTCAGCAGTGGACTTCTGCGACAAAGCCTTTTCTAAAGCACGTTCACGTGCTTCAGCAGTTGCTCTCTCCACAGCAGCACGTTCTGCTCTAAGCTTCGCTTCGGAAGAAGCTTTGACAAGTGATTGTTTGCTTCCTGCAGAAGAAGATTTCCCAACCTTTTCCCTTGCCTCAGCCATTACCCTTTGTCGAACTTCAGCTGTTGCCCTTTCAGCAGCAGCTCTTTCTCGGGCCTCAGCAAATGCTCTCTCACGAGCTTCGCGGATGACTCTTTCGACAGCTATTCTTTCTAGGTCGCGCTCTCTTTCTTTCTTGCCTACTTCAAGTTTACCACATTGATCTTTATCACCTGCAAATTTTTCCCCAGATTTTTTGATTTCACATTCTTCGGGGATTTTCTTGGAACTGTTTGTTTCCTTTTTTTCTCCATCACCTGCTGTACATTCCTCATTTTTGTTTGAAGGAAAGTCCGAAGTTTCCTGTTCCTTTTTATTCTCAGCAGAGCAGATTTCTTTACGAATCGTTTTAACATCATCTTCGTCTGCTTCATCATCATTCACGAATTCATCCTCCTTGATGGTTCCCTCGCCCAATGCAGACTCTACTCTCACATACACACCATTGACAGCATCTGAGGACACCTCCGGTTCTTTACCATTCTCGGCAATGATTTTCTCCCCGGGGTCTATGCCACTAAAATCTAAATTTACAACTTCTTCAGAACTTTGGATCTCAGGTTCATCATTTAAATCTGATTTGCACCCACTGACATTCTCATCAGAGATGTTGTTGGCCAAACTATCTTTTTCAAAGGCCACCCTTTCAATTTGCATTACAATGTGAGTCAATCTATCAGTTTCAGAATCTTCCCTTTCATTTGGAATTTCTTGCTTATGTTTCATGGAATCAGTATTTTCTCCAGCGGTATCACAAAATTGGTCCTCACCAGTACCTTCCTTTCCATTCTGGCAAAGGTCTTGTCCAAGAGCACTTTGAAGCTCACCAGTAGTATGGTATTCCTTGCTATACTCTTCAAGCTTGGAGAACGTATCAGCAACCCCCTGGAGTCCCTCATTTTCTTCATGAGTTGCATTCTGTTCATTTGTTTCCACACTGATTTCTTTTGCTTTGAGCGTGCAATCTTCTTGAATTTCATTCAACCAATAACTTGCATAGCCATTGCATGCACTAGGAGTCAGGTAAGGCTTCTGCTCATCAGAAGCTGCCGGGGTAACATCAGTGGCTCCACTTTGTGTACATGGAGTTTCTTCAGTCCAGTTGAGAGTTGCATTTTTTTCCTGATATTCTTTATCAATATCTGTTTCTCTTTCCCCACTCTCAATTTCTTCAACCCCATTTAGAGTTACATTTATCTCCTGAAATTCGTCGTCTGTATCAGTTTCTGTTTCCACATTCTCAATTTCTTCAGCAGCTCCTTTCATTGCTTCAATATGTTGATTTTCCTGTTTTTCTTCAATCTCCTCACTGTCTTTACAACTAATGGCTTCATTTTTGTAAACCTCTTGAATTCTCTCCTCCACCCTTACTTGTTCTTCATCTATTTTCTTCTCAGACTCTTCCACTCCATCTGTGCCAGGCTTGTGAACCTCATCTGATGGCCTTGCATGCTCTTCATCTAGTCTCTCTGTCTCTTTGCACTCATGAATAATGGGCACACAAGCTCCATTTGACCTCTCATCGCGTGCTTCTCCTTCCTGTGAAACCTGGTGGTTATCCTCACAGGTTTCTTCAAGACAAAGTTCATTTTCATTTTCAACCCAAAGATAATTTCCTCTATGTTCTAAGTCAATTTCTGTTTTGTTCCATGTCTTCCGTGCTCTCTTGGTTATCTGTTTACAGTCATGAGCATCTCCTACTGCTTTCTGCAGTTCATCACATTCAACATACTCCCGCCTTTCCTGCTCATTTTTGGACAGCTTGGGGATTCCGTTGACTAGAGCATCATTCTCGAGTTCTTGGATCATAATGTTTTCTTCTTCATTATTATCATGCATTTGCTCAAGACTCTCCATATCATGAAAAACTTCGTCTTTCTCCTCAATGATTCCAAACTCAAGACTCTCACATTTTCCTGGTTTATCCATAGCCCACCGCGGATCAGGACTGTTTTCAGCAATTGTCTTCACATCTTTATTCTTGTCCTCTACATCCTGAGACGCAACGGTCCACACTCTGTGTTTTTTAGAATTTAACTTTTCAAATGACAATGTTTCTGCTGCTGGAGCAGCATCACTCTCAGGTGCTGAAATGGTTTCCCTATGGCATTCAGACTTGTTGGTGTCCTCATTGGTAGAAAGTTCTACACATTGTTTTAGAAACGAAGCAATATCTCCATTTTTAAATGCATGGTCATGATGAGGGACTGTGTCTTTTGCTTTAGTATTCTTTGAGTTGCGCCCTTTTCTACGCTCTTCTTTATCCCCAATTTTTGAGTTCTGTTGCTTTTGATGACCTGGAATACCTTCCTTGTATCTCTCCATTAGCTCTTTTGCCAGCCTTATGCTCTCTTGAGCTTTCTCTATAGCCCTCTTCAGCGCAGCTGCAGAAACAGCTGCATCTGAATTTGCATCGAGCTCCTCATTAGACGAAGGTGATGATGACTCAGTGGCAGGAGCTCTCTGAAACCCATCCTTTTCAGATTTTGTTTGAGCATGAAGATTATTGTCATCAAACATCGAAATTGAGGGTTTGGTTAATTTTGATGAAGTTAACTCTGAATTAGATAAATTATCACTGAAATGAAATCCATCAAAACTAGACCTTTTGTGTATTTCCCCACTACATTCCTTTTCAATTTTCACATGTACCGGTGGTGGGGACACACTGCCATCCCTTGACTTTAGAGGGACGGTTTCGTCTATAAAATAGGTAAATCCAGAAACAGCATGAAGCTGAGCGATACGTGTCATTTCATTCAAACCATCTTCAGCTCCTTGACTGGTCTTATGATATGACATATTAACACGTTTTTCCCCTTCAACAGATTGATCAGAAGAAGAGTCACTCGCAAAGACTTCATTCGTTTCATTATTAGAAGAAATGCAATGATTTGATTCTTGAGAAGAAGTCCTACAAAAGAAGTGCCAATTCGATCACATACAACTCCACATTAAGAGTGCGAAAATAATGGGAAAAGGCATCCACTCCTTTATATATCATAGTTCACAAATGCACACAAAGCAATAAACAGATGCACACCTCAAACCAGAGGCAGCAATTAATTTTGGAAATTTCATGACCTCATACCAAAATAAAGAAAGAAATGCTGGATTCAAACCCCACCACTACTCAACAAATGGGAATACAAAAAAGAGCAAACATTTGTTGAAACTTGAAACTCAATGATTAAACTATCTCCACTTTCATTCTTTATGCACACAGTAATTATGTCCCTAGATTCAAATTACCCACTAATGAAAATAATAATTGAAACCCATAATTGGTTCTTTTTCGCCCAAATAAAAAAAAATCCCAAAATAAGAACTCACCCAGCTGTACCAGAAGACCGTTGCTTTCCTCTTTCAGCAACCACTTCCTCATAAGGCAAAGCAATATCATCATCACATGACCCACCAAAAATATTGGAATAATCAATTTTGGAGCTGAGGAAATCGTCGCCCGACCCGGCGGCGGCTCGGTCCTCGAGGGACGAAAGATCGAGAACCGGAATGGAGGACCCGCGGGAGGGTCCGAAGATCTCGGCGTAGTCCCACACGGGTCGGGTCGGCCCGGTGGCTCGCTTCTTCGGGGCGGCCGAGAAAACGTCGTCGTACGCGTTTTTAGCAGAAAATGAGACGCCATTGGCGGCGGCGCTTGTGAGCTTGCTTCTGTGAGATGGCCGCGACAAAGACTCCATTGTAGGGACAGAGAAAGAACAAAGCGTTTCGAGGCTCTAAGTTGTTAGGGTTTGAAACAATTTCTTTCTTTTTCAAATATTCATTCTTTTTGTGGGGAAATTTCTTCTCTGCTTACTTCGAAGGAGTGGTTTGTCTGTACACTGGGATGGGATTTTCAGCAGACAGAGAAAGGACGAGGAGAGAGAAAATGACAATAAGGGCAATGCCTATTCATCCTATTTTTAACTCCACTTTTGAAAGTTGAAGTGCCCTATATGAAATTAGTATGTTTGTTCAAAAAATGTATCGATTAAATTCTATAATTGAGAATTTTTTATATTTAGTTTTATATTATTAAATATTATTCTTGTAATTTTTAAGAATATCTTTTTTATAAATGATCAAAATTTATCAATTTTAATTATAAAAATCAAAATTAGATAAGTATTCTAAATAAAAATAATATCAATCTTTGCGAGTATTGAATGGATTAATATAATTGGGCTTGGACTATTTTATTTGGACTATATTTAGTTGACTTATTACTCTCTACATATATACAGAGTACTAGTTTAGAATTCAATGAAAACAACAGGTGTACCCCATTTGTCCCTCACCCCCTCAATTACCACTTAAATAGGCAAGAAATTTTAAAAAAAAATTAAGTAAATAAAAATAAAAAATAAATGAGTGGTTATGGAGGGAGTGGTGTACAAATGGGGTACACCAAAATGGTGTGCCCCTAGCATCTCCCAAACAATTTTTCCTTTTTTTTGTTCCAAAATAAGTTGCCTATTTCTTGTTAATCTTAAATTTTTAAGAATAAAATATCTAAACTACCCCTAAAATAAGTCAATCCTTTTCACCATATCTTCTCATTCATCGTCACCCCTCCTAAAAAATAATGGCAATTTCAAAAAGTCAATTCTATTTTTTCTCTTTCTTAAATATGCCCCAAAGTCAAAACGGGCGATTTAAAATGAGACGAAGGGAGTACATGATATCGAAACGAGTTATAAGATCGTCAAAATTCTCGCATGCCTAAAAACCATAGTCGGGGTAGGAGTTCGGTGTCGTCCATTCCGCCAATTGACAACATTGACTCTAATCAACCCAATAAAATAACTCATATCTGATTATATTATTCAACTCAATATTGTGTGTCTATGTGAAATACACACAAGTATATTCGTATTGTCAATGACGGGGCATTCTTACATTGCTCATTTAAAATTGAACAATTTTGTCTATTGTTTATCTATGTCACAAACAGAATTATCATAAAGTATTTGTTCCTTAAAAAAACTGAGTATAGCATTCCTTGTATTGACCTAAAATTTGATAAGTAAAATTTATAATTTGGATTTTCAATTAAATTGGAGTTTACAAGTTTGTTCTCTTCGTTCGATCCAATTGGACATGATCTAATTTTATTAAATTCTTATCTTATTTAATCTTATGATAGTCACATTTAAAATTATGTTTATTAAATCTAATCTGATTTGATTCTTATTAAAATAAATTATGCTCCTTATAAAAATAAGTTGAAGAGAAGTTCTTACATCACCCCATTGAAGACATAAGTTGAAGAAAGTTCTTAAATTAGAAATCACCCTAAATAGGACTAAAACATAGAGAAAAGTACCAAAATAGGACTTTCATGTTTTTTTCCAAAATAGGATTTTGCACTTTGGTAATGTGACTTTGCATTGTGGTAATGTGACAGTGTACATGTGCACATTACTATACGTTTTTGGTAATGTATATGACCATGTTTGGTAATATAAGTCTTATTTCAGGAATAAAAACATGGAAGTCTTATTTTGGTATATTTTCAATGTTTTAGTACTATTTTGGTCTTTCTCTCATATAGAAATCACCCTAAATAGGACTAAAACATAGAGAAATGTAGCAAAATAGGACTTTCATGTTTTTTTCCCGAAATAGGATTTTGCATTGTGGTAATGTGATTTTGCCCTGTGGTAATGTGGCAGTGTACATGTGCAAATTACTATACTTTTTTTGTAATGCATATGACCATGTATGGTAATGTAAGTCTTATTTCGGGAATAAAAATATGAAAATCCTATTTTGGTATATTTTCAATGTTTTAGTCCTATTTTGGTCTTTTTCTCTTCCCTTCTTAAATCACTGGAGCATGCTACATGTATCCAAAAATTTGTACTCATTTGTACACCAAAGGTATGCATCAATATTTTAATGATTCACACTGACACAAAGTGTTGGTGCTTTAACAAAAATTTACATTGACACTTAGTGTTGGTGCGTTAACAAAAATTAATATTACACCAACACAAAATATTGACATACAACTACATTGTACAAAATGAGATACAAATTCTTGAGGTACAAATTCAAATTCAAAACAATACACGGAGTAAAAATGAGTTTACTGTGCAAAATATGTCCAACTCACTCTTTTCCCAATCACTCATTCTCCAATTATTGTCTTTATCTTTCTTTTTATCTTTTCCTTTTATTACTCCACATTTGTTTACTCCGTATTAGACAACTTTTTACAATTCACACTACAATGATGCATAGTGTGAGAGTTGAGACTACGAAATGTTTCAAGGAAAAGAATTAAATTTTGAGTAGGATATAGAAATAATATTAAAATAGAAACTTTATATTTTTTATTTGTAAAATAGGAGTAAATACCAATATATAGTATTAAAAAATGTAGTGGGATGTCCTTACAGAGTAACATGGTGCAAATTTTTATTGGAAGAAAGACTAAAGTATGACTAAAACATTGAAAAATATCAAAACAGAACTTTCACATTTTTATTCTCAAAATACCACCTAAAATGCATTTATATTACCACACATGGTCATTTACATTACCAAAAGGTATAGTAATGTACACATGTACAGTGTCACATTACCACAGTGCGATTTGTATTCGAATATGATGATTCGAATTCGCGTTATTCAAATACAAATTCAAATTCAAATATTATTTTTGATTCGAATATTAATCAAATACAAATACAAATATGGATATATTCGATTCAGATGATATTCGAATATTCGAATATATGTATATATACACAGACCATGTTTTCAACATCAAAAGTCAAGCAAAGTAACATAGTATAAAGTGTATTTAAAATACTAAGAATTCAATAAATTAACGTAACACAAAAATCTAAAGCATATGATTTTTAATAGTTATATTTTATAAAATATAATTTGTGTAAGGTGTAAATGTATTAATGTTTTTATATACGGAATATAGTATAGTATAAAGAGTATCGTAAGTTAAATTATAAATTGATGTTGGTCCATCATATAAATTACATAGTATGATTATTCAAATATTCGTTTATGATTTGATAACTAGTCGAATATTAATCAAATATTTATTCAAATCTTATTTTGAATTCGTCTCATATTCGGATTCGGATTCGTATTCGAAAAAATTAAACAAATACAAATTCAAATATATCGGTATTCGCTTCGATTCGGTTCGTTTACACCCCTAGATCCAGCCCCATTACCTCCCTCGGTATTTCTAAATATTTTGATTTGTGAAAAGTGCATGTATATATAATTTAAATTCAATATACGCAGCACTTGAATTGTTTACAAAAATATTTCCATTCTAAAAGCATCATATCTAATTATATGAATTATTAAATGTTAGTAATAAACAATTATTGAATGTCCCATTACCTCCTCTTTTTATCACACTAGTATTGTAATCCGTGCCACGCGCAGAATCAAATGAAATTTTTGTTGATTATGTGAATAATTTTCGATGTAATCTGTGTCACGCGCAGAATCCGTACTCATTAAAAGTATTTTGTCTAGTACCTCGTTACTGCCGTTCGGTACCTCGATACCGTTAGCCCGGTACCATGCCACTGTTATCATGGGAGAATTTTCAAATTCCGGATTTCAAATCTCATCACCACTAATGAATCAAAAACCTTCCTAACTACTCTCTAATGGCTAATTAACTTTTCCCACTATAAATATGAGCTTAATCTTTCATATTTCTTCAAGAATTCAACCTCAAAACATCACATTTCATTATTTCAAATGTGTTCTGATTCTCGTTCTTCATTTGTATTATTTTGGCTATTTCAAGAACCTTTTTCTCCTTATTTTGATGCATGCATTGAGCTTGTGTCTGTACATATTTACTCTCATATTCATTAGATTTATCTTGTATTATTTTAGAGAGTATAATCTCTGTTTTTCACCGACTAAGGATTGATCTTATTCTTTATCATATGCCTAAAGAGGTTGAACATTTTTCTGTGTTTTTGGACACATTTTTTACTTGTTGTAACGGTCGATGATAGCTGTATAAATCCTTGGGTATAAGGTTCAAGGATGGATTATCAAATCCTTGGAGAACGGTCGAAGATAACCGTGAAATCTTCATTACAAGCAGTTCGAGATAGTCGTTGTGAAATCTTGGGGTGAATCCTATTGGAAAGGGTTGTTTGCCAAACTAGTTCGGTGCTTTGATGGAGTTCAAGAGACCGAAACTCAGTGGATTCGAAAATCCTTAAGGAGGAGCCTTAAGGTTCTGGAATAGAAAGTTCCCAAACGAGTTTAAAATTTGTGTGTCTTTATTTTGCGCTTTTAATTTTCTCTGTTTTCACATTGCTTCCGCATTTGCCAACCCTGACTTTATTTAACTTCGAAAAGTTTTTAAACGCCTTATCCACCCCACCTCCTCTAAGGCATGAGCACATAGACTAACACCTCTCAATGGTAAAGTAGTTTGTATGGGATAAGAAGGACATGACCGATACTTTGGTTCATAGTCAAGAAAAGATGGTCGAAGGGTACAAACAAGAAATTTCTTGCCTTATCAACCTCGACTAGAAGATGGCTGCTAACTGGGAGTACTGGATGTACGACTACCAGGAGGCCCAACTTGAGGTGGAGAGGCTCCTCCCGTAAGTTGCTTGAGGGTGCCCAGAAAACTTTTTCCGTTGAACAAAAACTTTAGGAGAAAGACAAACAAATAGAAATCCTGAAACAACAAGTTGTGGCCTTCTCTGCCTAGGCCAAGGAGTTTGACGTGGAGTTCCAAAAATAGTATTCATCTTTAAGCATCCAAAAGAAGAAGAAAAGCAAGTTGCTGAAATCTTTATATGAGAAGGAAACCCTGCTCTAGGAGGTCCGGGAGCAAGTTGACAACTTGAATATGCAGGTATCTGACCAAAGGTAGCTGACCTCCACTCTCAAGAGCAAATTGAATGAGGAGAAGAAAGGTGGTTGTCTATCAGAATATCTATTGTAACACCCCAACACGCATAATTTGAACCAATGAGTTAGCGAATGGAGTTGCTACTAATTTGGTATTCATAAGCACAACATATTAAATCAATTTAATTAAAACATCCAACACACCGATTAAATATAAAACATTCAGAGTAAAAGCTCCAACAAATGCAAAAGCCTTCAAACAACATTCAAACATTCATGTACTTTAAATGAATTAAATATTAAGAATTAAATAATCAAATTAATCAATGCAACAGAGCCATCCACTCAGCACGTCAGTGTCCACCGGCCAGTCCCTCCTGATCTTGATCCCTACCTGCGTGCGATAAAAAATAACAAAGACTACATGCTCAGCTAAAAGCAGCTGAAAGCTGAGTGAGAATATATCTAATGCTAGAATTATTAAACAAATTATATCACATTCATATATAATCAGACAATTTCAATGAATTTGCAATATCATTATTCAGCATCCAGATTATTATTATTATTCACTATAGATCTCAAATTTAACATAGCATTAGAAAATACTATGAAATAATATTTTCTAATATATAGCATTGTCACAAACAAACTTAAGTGTTTCAATAAAAATATGTCATTTCTATTTTACCGGTAGTTATTTTTGAGATAAAGTTTGTCTACATAAATGGAAAATACAGATTTGGTGAAACGACCTCATTTCATTATGATTCTCTCAAATAGAATGACTTTTTTTTGAAGGACAAACCTACTTGACATTTGTATAGAGTATAAATTAAAACCTTGAGCTTTCCTCCTGCCTAAGAAAACGAAAGCCAAATCGGGGTTTATTTATTCGAAGTGCCGAAGCGAGTAAGATTGTGTGAAGTGGTGGAAGATGTTTAGGAACCAGTACGACACTGATGTTACGACATGGTCGCCGGCGGGACGGCTGTTCCAGGTGGAGTACGCCATGGAGGCGGTGAAACAGGGCTCGGCGGCGATCGGTCTGAGATCCAGGACTCATGTGATCTTTGCGTCCGTCAACAAAGCCAATTCCGAGCTTTCATCTCACCAAAAGAAGATCTTCAAGGTCGACGATCACATTGGCGTCGCAATCGCTGGCCTGACCGCCGATGGTCGAGTTCTCTCCCGGTACATGCGCAATGAGTGCATTAATTACAGTTACTCTTACGAGTCTCCGCTCCCAGTCGGTCGCCTTGTTGTTCAGCTTGCCGATAAAGCACAGGTCTCACACAAAATAAAAACCCTAATTTATGCTCTTTCTTATCTAGTTAAGATTTTGAAATGCATGAGCTATGATTTTGGTATTGACCGATTGAATCGTCTTTAGACAGTTTCAATCGGATTCTCCAGCTCATTATTACGTTCCTTTCTTTCCTCGAGCGAATTAGTGAATTTGAATCTATGGGTTTTGTTCATTTATATGCCTCTCGATCTCTGATTTGTTTTTATTCTTAGGAACATGTTTTAAGTTCTATAAATTCAAACAATTTACTTGCTAGGAAACCTTAGAATAACTGCTGAGAACAAAATTGCCATGTTTCAAATGGTTTCAAATTCATTTCCACTAGCAAGGAGGTATACTTGTGACTTTCTGGCTAGAGTGTTGTCTGCTAGTTCGTTCATCCTGGGAATAATCCAGAAAATTTTCAGCAATTGATTGTTTTCCTTTATTTTTTCTTTGGCTTTGTAAGAGAATAATGAGACTAAAAGTTGGTTACTTTTTGGAACTGTTAGGATCAGCTGTAATGATAGTGCACATAGAACATTGTAAATTAGTGCAATCTATCATTCAGGATCTACATCTTGTATCTTGGAGCCTCTTAATTTCAACTAAACAGCGAATTGACAATGTTTTGCTACTTCTTGTCTCTGAAAAACCAACTTAAACACACTTGCTTTGTGTTTTCAAGCAATAAATCTAATCATTCATTACCTGTGTCTATGTGTGTGTAGTTAGATGTGTGAACTGTGAAGATACTTCTAGTTAAGTGGCGTTTTAAAATGATTTTCCCTCTTTATCAGAACTTTCGTCTTCTGCAGCAGCATGTGATACTGGAAACTTCCAGTCTCCACTTTTTTTTATTATACATTTTACATGACTCAAAACTCAAAATTCTGAACTCACTCCAGATGCCATTAAGTATAGAGAAAGAGTCTATAGTTAGTTTTCATGTGTTTTTTCCATTCATGCAGTAGAGATTATAAGAATTAATTTTTGATTTGTCAAATAGAATTTCTAGAAGTTGGACCTTCAAACGAATTAATTTTAGATGTAGTTCACCTAACTCTTGATGCCAAAATTGTTAGTGATCATATTTTTTCCATGTTTTGTTTCCAAATCACATCACAACATCATGTCTGCCAATAATTTATGTTTGGATCTTTATTAGATATACTAGAATCAACAGAAAACACTTTGGGCTTTATCAATTCCACACAAAACACAACATTTGATTCGAAATGAATTAGAGGGTGTTGGGAGTGTGTTTGAAAAGAGCTTTTGAGCTTCGACTTCATTGAAACACAATTTTAAGTGTTTTCCAATCAACTTTAGATTATGGATTGTGGTTTTAGAAGTGTAATTGTGCTCTAAAAGTGATTTTCACCAAAGCTCAGAGTAAGTGCTTTCTATTTTTGATTTAGCACATTTGTCTTTTCAAGTCTCACCGCACTCACAAACACCCTCTTAGTCTTTCTTTCAAGCAGCCTCCAACAAAACATGGTAAGCAAAGGCGCGGAGTCAAATTTTGGAATCATGGGTTAATTATTTCTGAAATTAATCATTTTTGGGTGGTGCTCTTCATATATATAAAAAATTAATCTGACTCCAAAAAAATGAGCTCCGCCCTTTGAATTAGTAAAGTGTACTTGTAGGTGAAAACTAAAAACAACAAAGAAATCATGTGGGTCATTATATTTGCAAAAAAAACAAAGAAATCTATAAAATTAAGTGAAATGTAGATAGATTTCCTCATTGTTATGTTGCATTCTATCTCCATCCTGTTGTATTATGTGGGTCATTATATTTTTGGTGTGGTGCTTCACTTTGAGCCTTATCTCTCTTTTCATACTAACTAATTTTAAAGAGACTTGCTCCATTGATAGTTTTTGTGTGTGCGTGTCTCATATTATGAGTACTATATAAGATTTTTTGAACACATTGGTAAGGGCTGGGTCTGTGTACACACACCCTCCCCTGACCTTACTCTCGTGGGATCCAACTCGGTTGTTGGTGTTGTTGTATTGGTAAGGGCTGGGCTTAAGACAAAAAAAGAACCAGTTGTCTGCAGGAATAAATTGGTAAATAGAAGTAAATAATTAGCACTTTCCACTTATTGTATTAGCACAACATGCTAGCTATAAGATAGTGTATAAATGTAATTACCTGAAAATGTGACCAGAAAACATGATGAAATTTGCGTTTTCTACTCGTCTTTAGGTAATATTTTCATGCATCTGGACCTTTGGGTTTTAATTGAAATCAATTCCTTTCATATTTTGAGCAAATGAGTGAATTTGATTGTTTTCTTTTGACCTATGGGCCAGGCTTTAGTTCTTTCGAATATGTTTTTTACAACTCTGCTACCAATACCATAGCTGCAGAAAAACATAATTACTACTCCCTTTGTTCCGAAGTGTTTGTTCAGTTTCTTTTTTACACAAACACCAATGTGAGGTGAATAAAAAGAGAATGTCATAAATACTCCTTTATTTTGGGTGTACTTCACCACCCCACCCATCACTGCCCAACCCGCCCCCAGCTTGCTGCTGCACAACCCACCCCGTTGTCTTGCACCATCTGCCCGCTGCCCAACCCACCCCAGTCTCTAGAAACGCCCTCCACCATACCTCGGTTTCCTCCCCTAGAAAGCCCTCTAGTTTATAAAATTGGATCTTTACCAGGGACGAGAAAACGAGATGACATTCAAACTCATATCCATCTCTGATTTAGTTTTTGAGGGAGGCCTGAGGATGAAACCGATTGTGACAAAGGACCTAATATCCCTGGATTACTTGAATTGGATCTCCAAGGGCAGAGGGTTCAGTCCAAGGCTTCTAGTCTCTTTGAATCGGAGAAGATAATAAACTTGAGAGAGTAGCCGTTGCATCTAATTGGGGAATCTTTAATAATCCTCAGTCTCTTCCTCCCATTATTAACCATTCCGAGCCTACCGGCTTATAGGCATCTTGGCCTGCAAAATGCCGCCACATCTTATTACAATTATTATTATTCCAATGATCATTTCTTGCAGCACCGGCACTGCCCGCCCTGGGTTCAAAGCTGCTGCTGCCTCCTTGAAGGTGTCGTCATAACAAAAATAAGAGTGAGTAATGGCGTTAAGGGGTAACAAAGGGTATAATATACTTTCAATCTCATTTATGTTGCGTTAAAAGGAAAGTAGATAAATACTCCAGGACAGCCCAAAAAGGAATATTGGAAAAATACTACCGGATGGAGGAAGTATGTTTTATAGTATGTATTTCTACTAGTAAGGAATAAGGAAGTTTATTTGTCACTTTATCTCTAAAGTGTACTTGGTATAAATGTTTGTTTCCTTCATTTTAGGCTTCTTAAGAGAATGATGAGGGAAAATAACAACACTCGTAAACAATCCCACAGAACTCTGGGAGGCTGTGTGTACGCACACCTTACCCTTATTAGAGAAGCTGTTTCCAAAAGACCCCTGGCTCACGATATAGTAGCACAATGACAAAGAAAAGTAGCACGATCAAAGTATGGACACTTCTTATATATGACCAATTGACCATATCCTCGGTAAGATTGTGAAGTTATACATAATGTATAATCACCAACTCTTAAATGTTAATGAATTTTGGAACTGCTGGGCCACCCACTTTAATGATATTGGGCATAGTGCTATGGTAATTAGTGCATTTTCTGGTTCTAGAAAACTGCATTATTTGTTTAGGGCACGCCCTGTTGTGACTTTGTGAGCCTTTTGGATTTAACAAAACACTAGATTGTTAAATTTTAGCTTCTGTTGATCTCAAAAAGTCCAACTCGAACCTACTTGTGTATTTTTCATGCCATTGATTTAATAAATCATTACTTATTAGCGTCTTCTTTTTGAAGTTTGGATGTGAAGATACTTCTAGCTGAGTGGCATTTTCAAATATTTCCCTCTTTTATCATAACTCACAACTTCTGGGTCCTCATTTGATATTAGTTAAAGAGGGGTTTTGTCTCAAATTTTCAGAACTGATTCTGCTTTGAAAGCAGCATAAATTAGAACTACCCATTAATTTGTTTTGTAGAATTCATAAAAGTAGTTTGAGAACTGATACTACCAATTGTTTTAGCTCTTTTGCTTCAGGAATCACATTTGTTGTTGTTGTTGTTGTTGTTGCTGCTTCAGGAATCACATCACTGCATTAAACCATTAAAAAATTTCAGTTTGAATATCTACTACACCATCTGTCCCGTATTTTAGTGTCTGTTTTGGTTTGCGATGTTTGATTGAAATTATTTTTAATTCAATTTATTTGAAGATTGGAGTGGAATTAAAAAATTAAAATTACATATTTAAAACCTACATCAAAAGTTCTTCAAAACAAGATGTGACACAACTATGTTATTTTGTCAAATAAGTATCCAAGATAGTTAAAGAAAGTGAATAAAGTTTGACCATGTAAATAGTTAATAGACACTAATTTGGGATAGAGGAAGTATGTCTTGCACTATTATATTAAGAGAACCAATGTCATATGCCTCTGAATTATTCAAATCTCCACAGATTTCAAATATGGGTTCTGATTTTGTTCCAAATCAAAATTGTCCTATTTACTAAATATCCTCAAAAAAAAAGAATCAAAATCAACTTTTGGAATCATGGTGAATTCCTTCTGGCATAAATCAAATTACGGGCATGATAATCACCTCTAAAAAGGTAACCATACACCCTAAAAGCTGATTTCTGCTGCCCAAAAATGCAGAATCATCTTCAGTAAGTTGAAAATGGAATAAAAAATAGAAAGAACCAAGGAATTAACTTATGTGTAGATAAATTTCCACATTGGGATGAGAAGATTTATCTCCATTTTACATTTTTTGGGAAGGAGACCATTGGTGCCTTTTGGGGGTGTTGTTTTGTGACATTCAGGTAATAAGTTAATGTCTGGAAAGTTGCGTCTTTGCAAAAATCAACTAATCTATGTAAGGTTTGCCTACCTGGACCCTCTCTAAGTACAACATCAATAACAAACAAACCCAACAGAATCCCACAAAAAGTAGGGACCTTCTCTAGGCAGGGACACTTTATGCACTGATCTGCCATTTCATGTTAGGTTTCTGAGTGGGGTGATTAAGTAGGCTCATCATGATTTGTGGTGTTGTGTACTACTCTAGTATCTGAGTGGTATCAGGGTTTTTTCAATCAGCATCTCTCTTTTCATATATACTAACTAAAGTGACTTGTTCCATTTACAGCTTTTAAAGGGTTTTATGTGAATATTTTTAGGGTGTCTAAGATTTGTTGAAATATTTGGTTAAGGACTGCCTTTAGACATAAATTTTGCAAGCTTAAATTGTAATAAGTAATTGATTCCCAGCTACCACAAAATGGCTGCTAAATGGTAGTGCATAAGTTAATAAAATATGAAAACACTTTTTCTCCTCAACCTGCTGGTAGACACACTCCTCTCACTGCATGCGGGTGTGGATCTGACAGTGCCAAGTGTATGCGGGTATACATATGTAGGTATTATAGAAAATTCCATCGATCACACACATTTTCTGGCCTCTCCGGAAAGTTCTTCACCTTTATTTTAAGGAAAGAGTTGTGTGATTGACATTGATTATTTCCTCTCTATATAAATTCCAGCCACAAAATTGAATGCCATTTTCATGTTATCATTGCGGGGAGGAACAAATGGGGGCAAAGGGAGTACTAGGGTTTGTTTGATCTTAATATCTTATGTGACTGAAATTGATTTAAGCAAGTGCCTTTCTTCTCAAAAAAATTGAGGTTCTTAGTTTTGGATCTATGTTGCTAAAAAAACATTTTGCTTGGTAGGTTTGCACGCAGAGGTCATGGAAAAGGCCTTACGGCGTCGGTCTCCTTGTAGGAGGACTGGATGAATCCGGAGCACACCTCTATTATAACTGCCCAAGCGGCAACTACTTTGAGTACCAAGCTTTTGCCATCGGGTCGCGGTCACAAGCTGCGAAAACATACTTAGAACGCCGATTCGAGACCTTCATGGATTCTACAAGAGAGAACCTGCTCAGGGACGCCCTCTTTGCATTGAGGGAGACCTTGCAGGGAGAGAAGCTGACAAGCTCAGCCTGCACAATTGCCGTGCTTGGAGAGGGAGAGCCATTCCACATATTGGACAAGGAAGCTATACAAACATTGATCAACGAGTTTGAGTTGGCGGGTGAAGACAACGCTGCCCCTGAAGAAGAAGGCGGTGCTGCCCCAGCCCCAGCCCCAGCCGATGGAGGTGCCGCCCCAATGGATATATGATGATGATGGTGAGGATAATGCTTTTATAATTTCACTCTATTTCTCTATTTTCATTTTAAGTGGGATTTTATTAAGCTGTTACAATGTTGAGAATTTGGGTCCTAAGATGGTGCCCTCACATGGTTGGGGAGCTTCTGTTGTTTAGTTGGTCCAGACTCTGTTCTGTTTAAAAATTATAGCGACGGTTTGGAATTAAAGTTTTCATTGCGTGAAAGTAATCTGAGTTTCATTTTAGTACTGTAATGGTTTATCTGGGGTTGATGAAGTGCAGTACGGGTTATGGAGGAAAACGAACTGAAGTGAGCCATATAGTACCCGTTCCACTTATTTTATCCAGAAGTGTTGCGTTTGAACTCTTACACCACGTTTGGTTCAAGGAATTTAAAAGAAAAAGAAAAAAATTCCTTAGTTTTCTCTTATTTTGTTCATTAAAATAGAAGGAATTTGATTTTCTTTCTTCTTAATACATTTTGCCTACTTATTTTTTTCTCACTTTTCTTTTCTTTTCCTTTCTAACCAAACAAGAAAATTACTTTTCTTCTCATTTTCTTTTCCTCTCACTCTCAAATTCCTTGAATCAAACATAGTGTTGATTTTTTTTAAATTACCTAGTGCATCTCAATAAAAGTTGCATGTTTACTATTTACATATTTAACTTTAATCATATTTTTCACTCATTTTTTTATTCATTTGATAAAAAAATATAGCAATGTCACTTTTTATTTTGTAAAACTTTTGATATAATTTTTAAAATATATGTAAATTTATTTATTTTTAATTGTATCATAATTTTGTTATAAATTTATTTGAAAATAATTTTAATCAAACATCGTAAATAGAAAATAAGACTAAAGGAGTATTTGAAAGGTATTTTGGATATAATTAATTCTACTATGGAGTGCAATGTAGTGCAGAGTATCTGTTCATGTGAAGTCTTAATTTTTGTAAGGATGAGGTGAGAAAGTGAGAGATAAGAGGGGTGGAAATGAAGAAAAAATAAAGAGAAAAAGAGTAGCGTTTGGATTGTTAAAAAATGATAAGAAAATAGTGTGAAAAGATAAAAAGATTAAGAAACAACTTGTGGGAGAAAGAAGATAGTAATTTTCTTACCTATGTTGAGAAAGAAGATAATAGTTTTCTCTTCCATATCATTTTCTTGCCAAAACAAACAATAAAAGATGTTTTCAAATATGTGCTTTTTCACCTGTATTTTATTTTATTTTATTTTCTTATCATCCAAATAATCAATTAAAGTTAATAAAGACAAGTCCTTAGGCCATCTGCATTAGATGGACAAGTGAGGAGTGGTAGCAGAACTTCTCCGGCTCTTTCTTTAAGACCAAAACAGAGAACGGATGTGTAGAGACTAATAAAAAAGGAAATTGTTGACCAATTATTTTATGCCATGTGACGATATTACTTTGTACTCCATAAGAATATAGGTGTGTTGGGTTAGTTATTTTTTTAAAGATAGGTTGAATTCATTTTGGAATATAATTTTAAATATTTTTTATTTACTTGTGTCTTTGGATGAATTTTACACATTTTTATGTCTAAAAATTATTTTTACACTTCTCCACTTTTTCTTTTAGAAAATTAGATATGTGAACATTTTAACTGCATACTTTTTTCAAATTTAAAAAGAGTATAAATTAAATTTGATTTATTGAAAAAAACATACCGGAGTATTAAAAGGTTGAAATAGAATTGTTTTTAAATAAATGAAAACTAAAATTAAATAACCAAGATTTTACAAGGATGTTTTTATTTGGTCAAAAAAATAAAAGCCGGTGAAATATCATCTTTTTATTGTGTAAGAAATTATTCACCTTCACATGGTGTGATGGAGTCAGTCTGATATTTTAATCTATTAAAGAAACTCAATTATGTTTACACCTCAGAGATTGACTCCATTTCTTTCTTTCTTTTTTCTCCTTCCCCTATCTATTATGGAGTACTTTGCATTCATTCACTCTATAAATCCAAATGAATCTGATTTCAATCAATATTATTCTATAAAATACTTTTTTTACTCTAATGACTTTAAAATAAATAATTTTGAGTCAAACTCATTTATAAAAATTAATTGAATTGAATTTTTTTAAATTAATTAATAAAGCATAATTTTATTTTCTGTCATTTTTAAATAAAAATAAATGTATAGTATAAATATTTAGTAATTAAAAAAGTAAAAATTGTTGAGTATAAGACTAAAACATATTAGTTTTCCCTATATAAGACTAATGATGTTTTTTTCCCCTTCTAAGACTATTTTTTAAAGAAATCCCTTTCCTACCCCTAACTTATACGTCCACTTGTGTGGATAAAACCAACGCCTCTTTGCTATTTTTTATTTATAAATATTTTACTTAATTATGTTAGCCATTATTTACGCCTATAGTTTAGGAAATAAATTTATTACTCTACGTCTCTATTTATCACCACCCATCACATATTTAATGCTACCATTTTTTTCATCTGTCTTCCACATTTTTTTGTTCTTACTTCTCAACATATTTAAACTTGTGCGATTCTTAGATTCATATTTACTTTATGAACCTTAACATATAAAATAAATATATATTGATGATTGTAAAAAAATTCAAAATGAATTCATAAAAATATATAAAAATGTTTATATTTCATATTTGGACATTGGGACCACAATAACAGAACTCTTTCTTCATTCTTACAATCAATTTATAATAAAAATATATATTCACTTTCTTTACTAATTTTTATTACACATTTGTAAAACAATATAATAATGTCACTTCTTGTTTGTAAAACATGTTTTGCCTAATTTTTGTAGAATGTTTGATATTATTTTTAAGTATATAATTTTATTTTTAAAATCTACACCAAATTTTAGAAAAAATTGAACTGAAAGTAATTTTAGTCAAACACTATAATACGTAACGAGAAGATAATCTCTAGACAACGAGAGTGTATTTTTTCATCGTAATTTTAAAAATCCTAATCGTAATTTAAAATAATAATGAAGTAAAAAAAGAATAGAACTAAAACATAATGACTAAAACATAATGACTTTCTCAATATAAGACCATATATTTTTATTTTCCAATGTAGGACCATTGGTCATTATTTATTAGTCATTATTCAACTAAATGTCCAACATCACTTGGCATTTGTCTGAAGTCAATTGATCTATTTGTCTCCCAAATTTCCATATTGTCCTTAACAACAAACTAATTTCATTGTCTCTTTAGCAAAATAATGTCCTTGTAGTTGTAGTTCAATGTCCTCACACCATTAATGATATTGCATTTGTCTCTTTAGTTTGATTTCCTTAGCCCACAACATAATGTCCTTGTAGTTGTAGTTCAATGTCCTCACACCACAATGTATTTAAAATTGCTTTGCGAATTTGTTTATTACGGAGTATGTATTCTTTCGTACGGGGTATCTCTTAGGGAAATAGTTAGTACATTTATTTTAGTAAATTTACACTCAATAGGTCATTATGTAGGACATTCTGAAAATATTTTAACGTAACATACTGTCTAGATATTTTAACGTAACACACTGTCTAGATACATAATGACCTTAACCTTACTTTCTTTAGTTCCCAATGGTTATACTTTTAGCATATTAATGTACTATATATGACAACCAATCTCTTTATACGCAATGTATTTTCAGATTATTTACTCTAAAAAGTTTTCATTGTGTTCTTTTACAGCATAATGTCCTTAATTTAAGCAGTGATATTTCAATGTCTTTCCACAATTGTTCATACACAAGATGATCGAAATTAGGCAATTTGGGTGCCTTTTACTATGTTTTAAAGCCTACACAATAAATTCATGTTTCTTTTAATGTCTTAATGACTATCTTTTAACATTTATTTCCCCTTTTATTGGTTTTAACACCATGGATGAATTTAACAATGTGCAGTGAGACAATCAAGGACTTCCCACCATGCATGTTACATAATGATTTTGAAAGAATGCTAGGGGTACACCAAAAGTGTACCCCATTTGTCCCCCACCCCCTTCTCCACCACTCATTTTTATCTACTTTTTATTTATTTAATTTTTTTTAAAAATTTTTGCCCATTTTTGTGGGAATGGAGGGGGTGGGGGACAAATGTGGTACACCTTTGGTGTACCCCTAGCATTTTTCAAAAAATTTACAGTGAAATGATGAAAATCCTCAAATTAGATGTTTTAATGTCTATAGAAAATCCCTATACAATAAATCCATCAACTTTTTCATAGGCAAATTCACAAACACGTTGGATGCATGCTCGAATTCTACAAAACAATTCACCATGGCTTCTCTTCTCTCCCTCTGAACAATTGAATAAAATAATACATTAAGGTACTTACACACCCTGAATTAAGCTTCACCAAACATGTTTTTCTACACCCTGAATTTACAACAGGTTTTCAATGAAGTTGTTGCCACCGTTGTCTTCGAATTTGCTTGCCGCATTGACTTCTCTGTGTTCCGCCACTATGGTAAAAAGATGGAATCGTGGAATAATGGAATTGCAAAACCCAAGAAGTTTTCTGGTTCTACATGGTAACTGTTAGTGATACGGGTAAATAGGGGTTTGATATAAAGCACTGATTTTTTTTAATTTAATGAAATAAAATGGATCATGGATTCGCAGATTGCAGTTGCTGTAACACAAGGTTAAATCGGACAATTCCCCCTTCAAACGTTAGTATCACTAAGACTAGTCCTATATAGGGAAAAGTGCTATGTTTTGGTCCTATTTAAGTAATTTACTCATTAAAAAATGCACGTGAATCACATATTGAATAATATTTTAGTAGTTCTTTTGATATAAGATATGAGAAGTAATGGAGGAAAAAATGTAGTATTTGTTATGGAAGAGAGAAGTGAGAGACTAAAGTATCCCTCCTCCTCCTTTTACTACACCGTCTGATATAGTTGTTCTTAGTCCGGAAGAATTGAGTCTCAAAGAACGAGTCCATAATAACATTTAGAATGGTTGTGGTCTACAATGTTTGAATACATTTATTTTTAATTTAATTTAATTAAAAATAGTGTGGAATTAAAACTAAATATCTATATCTAAAAATTGCAAATCACAAGTTTTATGAAACAAGAGGTGACAGAACTTTATTTATTATAAATGATGATCTAAAACATTATCTAGATAGCAATCATAGCATATTATCATTGCATTTAAAGAACTTACATGATATTTTATACCCTCTCTTTAAAAAATAAGATTGTTACTATTTTTTATGATGTTTA